AAGGGTCCAGCAGAGGGAAAAAGTTGTATGAAGGACACTGAGAGTTGTTCTGGAATAAATAAAACCAAGAGAAATCATTTTACATTTTAAAACAGGAAATTGTTCCAAAAAGAAGAGAGGTCAAGTTAGATGAGAATTAAACAATTTATTTGAAAATAAAGAAGGTCTTGAAGCAACTAATATTCAAACATAATTAGTCAATTGCAATGTTTTAACTTTATTTCAATCCAGTGGTTTCTTTTATTTAATGGGAGCTTACCTCCTAAGTATTAAAAAAAGTAATAGTTAAACCAGGAAAGTTATAAATTGTGCATATGTTTTACAATTTCATTAAGATTGTTAAGCTTTTAACATTTTTTTAAATCAATCATTGAAGCATTTTCAGTCCCCTATTATATTCTTAAAATTGTTATACTTTTGTTCCTCCTGCTAAGTTCATCCGGTCTTTCCCTATTAACTTCCCACCTCTGTGCTTTTAATCATGCCCTTCTACTAACCTATAATAGATTCTCTAACCAATTCATACCTTACCATTCCTCCAAAACCCAGAAGAAGATTCACCTACTGCAATAATTCTCTAAACACTCAACACAACAGCTACTTAATAAATGCATGCTAAATTACATAAATTTAAAAATTAAATAAAGGATTATTTTTAATGAATAAATAAGCCATAGGTAAAACAAGTGTTAAAATAAATGCACTGTACTTATTTTAAATAATCTATAAAATAATGAAAAATAATCCAAAAGAGTCTAAAGAAAAAAGCAGAAAAGAGAAAGCATAATTGAGACAAATACAAAGCAAACTGTTACAAGCAGATTTAAACATAACCGTATCAATAATTACATTATCTATCAATTTTCTAACCACCTCAGTTAACAAAGTAAAATCATCAGAATGGATTAAAGAAAGTAAGACCCAACTATAAGTCCACTACAAGAAATCCACTTTAAATATAGATACAAGTATGTTAAAAGTAAAGGGCATAAAAATCATATTAACACTTAACAAAAGAAAGCTGAATAACTATACTAACATTGGACAAACCAGATTTCAGAGCAAAGAATATTACAAGGGATAAAGTCACTTCATAATGATAAAGAAGCTAATTTATCAGAAGAACATAATAATTCTAAGTGGTTTTTTGCATCTAATAACAGACTTCAAAATACATGAAGCAAAAACTGATACCACTGCAAAGAGAAATAGACCTACCCACTTATACTTGGAGATTTCAACACCCCTCTCTCAACAATTAATAGGACAAGTAAACAGAAATTCAGTAAAGGTAAGTCTTGAATAACACTACCAATCAACCTGACCTAACTGACATTTACAGAACACTTACCCAATAACAGCAGACTACATTTTCAAGTGAACACAGGATATTTATCAAAATATATCATACTGTGGATCATAAAACAAATCTCAGTAAATATAAAAGATTCAAATGACAGAAAATATGTTTTCTGACGCCAATGAAATTAAATTAAAAATCATTCACAGAAAGGTATGTTTAATATCCAAAAATATTAGATAACTTTCAATTGAAGTCAGTGCTCATTTACTATTCCCAAAATCCTAGAGCCCTTAAGAATTAAGCTAAATCTACTCTGTCTGTGCTTGTAAATAGAACAAGAAAGCTTGGATGACAGCACAACTGTCTACAACATGATTTACTGAATATTTTAAACCCACTGTTGAGACCTACTACTCAGAAAAAAAGATTCCTATCCAATTGTTACTGTTCAATCACAATATACCTGGTCACCCAAGAGCTCTGATGGAGGTATACAATGAGATTGTTGTTTTCATGCCTGCTAACACAACATCCGTTCTGCAGCCCACAGATCAAGAAGTAATTTCAACTTTCAAGTCTTATTACTTAAGAAATACATTTCATAAGACTATGATACCTCTAATGGGTCTGAGCAAAGTCAATTGAAAGCCTTCTGGAAAGGATTCACCCTTCTGGATGCCATTAAGAACATTCATGATTCATGGGGAGAGGTCAAAATATCAACATTAACAGGAGTTTGGAAGAAGCCGATTCCAACCCTCATGGATGACTCTGAGGGGCTCAAAACTTGAGTGCAGGAAGATGTGGTGAAAATAGCAAGAGAACTAGAACCAGAAGCAGAGCCTGAAGCTGTGACTGAATTGCTACAATTTCATGATAAAACTTGAGTGGGTGAAGAGTTACTTCTTATGGGATGAGCAAAGAAAATGGTTTCTTGAGGTGGAATTATTCCTAGAGAAGGTGTTGTGAAGATTGTTAAAATGACAACAAAGAATTTAGAATACTACATAAGCTTAGTTGATAGAGCAGTGTCAGGGTTTGAGAGGACTAACTCCAATTTTGAAAGAAGTTCTACTGTGGGTAAAATGATATGAAACAACACTGCATGCTATGAAGAAATTGTTCATGGAAGAAAGAGCTAATGAATGGGGAAAACTTCAGTGTTGTGTTATTTTAAGAAATTGCCACAGCCACCTCAACCTTCAGCAACCAACACCTTGAAGAGTTTGCAGCCATCAACATTAAGACAAGACCTTCCACCAGCAAAAAGGTTACAACTTGTTAAAGGCTCAGATGATGATTATCATTTTTTAGCAATAAAGTATTTTTTAACCAAGGTATGTACATTGCTTTTTGAACACAATGGTACTGTACACTTAACAGACTACAGTATAGTGTAAATATAATTTCTACATGCACTGAGAAACAAAAAAATTCATACAACTCACTTTATTGTGATATTTGCTTCAATGCAGTGGTCTGAAACCGAATCCACAATATCTCGAAGGTATGCCTGTATGCACTGCTGGTCTGTTCCTAAGGGTTCTCTTATATTCACCAATTTCTCTATTGTGGCACTAGAATGAGATTTTTTACTATTGTTCATAGTCGGCGGTACATAGATTACATTTCACAGCTTTTTTCTGGCAAATCCCTCTAGACGCCTATGAAATGAAGACTACTGGCATGAAAATATTTATTGTATAATTTTAATAGTAAAAAAGAAAAAGCTCATGAATGCCCATCAAAAGGGAAAACTTTATTAGGATTTAATTACACTACAGA